GGGCGTGAAAAGGAATTCTGAATTGAGAAAACCCAATCACGATTCTGTGATTATAGAGGTCTGTGGAAGCAAATTCTCATCGTTCAAGTTTGAACCCCTTGATGATTGGGTATAAACGTATTGAGAAGGAATATTCTCAGATATAGCGAAAAGTTCAAGATACATTTGCGTCAAGACTACTCGTCCGATTTGAACGTTTTTTCTATTCTTATCGATATGGGTGATAAACTGTATTCGCATAAAAACCTCTATTTTCATAGGTACCGAGTGCAGTAATTATAGCGTTTTTTCTCATGAAATTTGTAATACCCTGTAGAGTGTAATAGTTCTATCACTATCACACTATCAAGATAACATTGAAATCACACTTTAGCCTCATCTTTTTCCAAGATTTCATTGTTGGATTCACTACATTATATTTCCAGTTCGGCTATCTAATATAAAAGCGAGACTTTAAGTTTTTCAGAATAGAATTTATTTATATTTGATACCACAAGTGATACTATTTTACCGGAAATATTCACCGATTGTTACGACAGCTTGTTGCCTAATAATTTCGCCGAATGACATTGTTTATCAAAACTTTCGAGTCATAGACGAGAAGTTTTGCAACAATGTCATCAGCGAAATTGAAGCAGCAAGCTGGAGTATGTCAATCGATGAATATTCCCAGGAAAAATAGTATCGCGAGTTGTATTCGTATGAGTATTCCATGATTGAGACAATAAACAAGCGGCTTGCGATAGTGGCGAACACTGATGCATCCATCATTCTTGCTTCGAACATGATTGACATTTTAAACGTCCAAAATTTCATCTTGTCCATAAATAAAAGTGAATCTATTTGATACCTCAAGATAATATTTTGAACTAAATGATAGTGATGATCTTTTCAATAATGTTGATGGTATATTCGAAATAATATGATAACCATCGAATTCGGTAATATTCGGGTAGCGATCTCCACTATCACACGTTTCAAATGCTTTGGGAAAATGATTTCATGAACATGTATTTAACTCATATAGAAAAAAACAACGTTACAATACCATAAATTTGCGTTATGAATTCGAATGTTTATACCAAAAACCTCAATAATTTCCATCATTTGCTTTGATACTGTTGTCGCTTCTCAGAATTCGTCTGAAATATTTATATAAAAAAATATATGTTACAAAAATGCATGGTGTTGCCAATCAAAATTTTTCAATCAAATTTTGCGACCAACCCAATTGAAGGATGGAAAAATTGCTAATGATATTTCGTAATTTTTCACATAAAAAGAGCATAGTATGCCCTAAAAAATGTAGACCTTCTGATACTATTTGTGCTGAAATAACAGAATATTCAATCGATTGAACACTGCAGGTAAGGGTGCTCTGTTCTCAACTGATGGGTCACACTGTATGTATACAGGTTGAACCACCATATATCTGTTCCGATTAAATATCAGTGAGTAGTGGATCAAAAGTTGAGATAGGGACATGTGAGCCGTTTTTACCGATAATGACTTGTTTCGACAGTAAAAAATTCTGAAGATGAAAAATCTCGATTTTGAACACCCTATATCTCTGCAATAATTTTCGATAGACCCCAAGTGTGATACATCGATGATATCAGCTTCTCAGGGAGAATATAAAAATGCGATAAGATACAGGGTGTTCCATATGAGATATCAATGTTGCTACTTCTTTCTAGTCGAAGCGGCAACACTGCATTGTCGAAAATATTTTAAATGGAAAATAAGCATGCACCTTTTCATGGAATTCGTCCTGACTAATTCTCGATATGAAGATATTGTAAGTTCGTCGTGACATACCCTGTGTAAGCAGTACTTCGATAATAACTCCTGCAGTGATGTAGCCAGTGTTATAACATTCATTTAAAATTGTTTTTAGGAAATAGCGCTCGGACATTCCATTAATATTCTTAACTTTGTTTTTTCTGATGGTGAATTAAGGTACACAGGTCGTAGGGCATCAGATCAATTTTTCCATTCTTTATTTCATTTTTAAATACTGATATTCGAACAAGTCTATTGATGTTAATCGAAATACGAATATATCTTCATTACTTTTCATCTATGTATAAGGTGCTAGAATTTGAAACGAAACGAAATCTCAAAAATACAGTATTCGAGCCAAAATACTATAGCTGCATTGATATGTAATTCATATTATACTTACCGTTCACTATGTATAAACACTTTCTTGGAGAGTAGAGATCTAAGTAGATCAGTTTAGTATAGATATACCTATCTGATATAAATACCACGTGTGTGCGCTATGACATAAAATGTGGCTATAGATATAGGAGAATTTTGGGCAGAATTCCAACTAAAATAGTCGTCAGCATTCCTGTGGAATATTTCAGCATTATTTCGGATTCCAGATTTAATGATATGAGAGATGTATTTCTAAACCGAACCGTTCATGGATATTCTACAAACGCGAAAGATTTTTCATTTCTTTGGTAAAAAACGATTTTCCACTCAGAGATAAAGAGTCTGTAATAGAGAATATCTGGGACAAGTCAGGGCAATGAAAAGAACAGAATAGTTAATTGAAAATTTAATCAAAAAATTACCATTCATCTGAAATACATAATTATAATTTAGTTAGCATTTCAACGTTCAGACAAAATTATAGTAGAGGAAGTCATGAAATTGCACAATTATAGGAAGCTGAATAATCACAAAATCAATCACAGTTAGACTCAGTAGATCGTAGTAGATTCATATGTTGTCTTCACGTCATATAGATTAGTTCCCTCAGCTAAAAAAAAATTAAAATTATTCATCAGTTCGGTTTAACTGATACAAGGAAAGCTCATATCATTCCATAAAGAGCTGATTTTGGATTTATATACAGATTGTCCAATAACAAAAACAAATATTGATCTTTCCTCGTAACTTTCGTAAACGTAAAACCTGTTTGTTTTCGCACTTACTCATGCGGATGTCCCTACCCAGATATCTTCTATATGCCCTGTTGGGTAGCCACACCCTGTATCTCCATGGCCAATCGTGATAAAAATCGTAAGGTCGGTGGATTCTGTAGTCGCGAAAATAGGGTCGTTCTGTACTATAGGCGAAATCGTATCCATGAACAGGATCGTATTTTAATTCGAGCATCTTCTACAAACATGTATCACATTTAGTGGGCGTTTCTTAGAAGTGGCTCAACCCTATAACTTTTTTGTTTCTTCAGATAAACAATGTTTCAGAATAGTACAGAGATATAAATTTTTTGACTTTATTCAATTGTTTTCTGTCACTTCAGGTTCGACCGGAAATAGCCCTTACTTCCGTACCTATTCTAGATAGGATACCCGGTATATTTTCACTTATTCGTATTGAAAATCACGTTATCATCACATTGACATGCCATTATTTGGTAATTTTTGATATTGAGTGCTATGAATGAGTTGAAACGTTTAATTTTTTATCAAGTAAATTCGAACTTACTAAATATTAATTATGAAGTTGACAATGTTCTTGAATAGAACTAAAGGCGATTCTTTACCATATCTGAAAAAGGCAATTTGTTACGTGCGCTCCAAGAGATAAAAAAAATCACAATAAATATTTTGAATGAATGTCCACTAGAATGATTGAAGAAATTGAAAGTTAAACTTCATCGACATTATCTGGCCCAGAAAATACATCGAAAATTAATCATTTAAAAACATTTATACCGCATTATTCCAGATTCTTTGGGATTTTCTCTCTTCGACTCTATAAAATAAGAAATAAAAATAAGAATACTATTGCAATATATGTGTAGTTAGGACAAATCAGATGATTTGCCCCAAAATATCACTGCGTTTAAAGAATTTTCCTATCAGCGAGTCTAAAAGAAACATTCACTAGCTTGTCAGTGACAATTCGTATCGAAAAAGGTTTAGAGAAGAGAAATAAAAGTATATGTATATTGAGAAAATATCGAATTTTTACTTATCTTTGGACGTTTCGGGAACGAATCTGCTCCCGTTTTCAACATAAAAAATGGATTTTTTGTATTGCAAATTCGTATTTGTCCTAACTACACGTATATTGAAATAGTATTCATATTTCTGTTTTTCATTTCATAGATACGGGGAGAAAAAATCCCAGAAAATCTGGAATAATGAATGTGTTACCTCCTCGATTAACCTACAGACAGTATTCAACATTTATACTACTTTTGATCAAAAATTTCAGGATGATAAAGTGACAAATGTGGTATATATGTAATAAGTGATAAGTAAAAATATAGCGGATTTCCTATTTAGAATGAAAGACACACACACAACACATCGAATTTCAATTTTTCATCTGTAAAAATAAAAAAGTAATAGGGTTGAGTAAGCCACTTTTGAGAAACACTCAGTACCTATGTATCTACAGGTCTATTCAATAATATCAATTTATATTTTCTCTTTGTGCTCTTGGAACAGGCTCATCTAATAAATTTATCTAAGCTCAATTTTGAATACATATGTGTACAGGATGTCCCGTAATGACCACATCAAACCTAGGGAGCACCTGCATATGACAAAATTCCCATTATAAAAGTCTTACCGTTTTCGAGATTTTTTTTGTTGAAAATATCCACTAGCAAAGGTTTCAATAAAAATATTTCTCACAGCCCCCCTTTAGAATGTTCGAAGAATGTTTTTGATGTATACGTAAAAAATAAACCAAAAAGGTGTAATTGTACAGACAAAACTATTGAAAGGGGCAAAAATTCGATATTTTCATTAAAAAAAATATCTCGAAAACGGAAAGACTTTTATGTTGGGAATTTTTTCATAGCAGGTGGGATATCTTTTGATCTACATTTTCCCTAGGTTTGACGTGGTCTTTACGGGACACCTTGTATAAAAATATATAATTTGAAATAGACAATGTTATTTTTGAATATTCGTTTAGGTATATGGTAAGTTGTAATTGTTTGAAAAACTGTCAACTCAGAAAAATATGTAGGTATAGGTATCCAATAGTAGGATGAAATTACTCACCGTATTTTCAAGATGACTTAATGAAGAATCAGGTACAAAAAACACTTAACAGGTAACTATACCAGCCACTAAATTTGTGTAGTGTGTGAAAACAATAACCGAGATTTTAGAGGAAACTTATTTGGGACTCAGCCAACTGATACGATGTTGACTGGACGCTATATTAAAATAGGATGGAGGAGTATTTTTCGTATATTTATATATAATTTCATCAAACAGTTAGTCAGACGCTCAAAAATAGTTTTTTCAGTTTTGCAAAAACGAATTTATAGGAATATTATTTCGGCTTCTTTGGTATATACCAGTTCAAAAAGTTCATCATTTATCAGCATTGTTATATACAGGATGTTTGGTTCACCGACGTATATCTGAAAGGAGGGGATAGGTATAAGAATATTTCGAACATATTTTACCATATGAATAATATACAAAGTGTTATGAATTTCGAAATATTATCGTTTTGTCGAACATTTCATCTGATTGTTTCTTCCTTTCTTCAAAAGTTGAATACGTATTTCATCGATATTGAACACGTGATGGAATCCGAATGTGATAAAAAACAGTTTTGGCTTGTCAGAATTTGAAAACCCATTTTCTGTATCATCTAACTTCGCATTAATGAGCGATGGTTTCTCGAAAAGTGTAACATTATATTTTATGGTTAGATATATGTATTTCAAAATCCCTCCTTGCAGTTGTAAGTAGGCTAGCCAAACACCCTATATAATGTATTGAATCGGCATTCACTTGATGAAAATTCATGATAACAATGAGAAAAAAATTCACTTGAGTAATAATTTCTTCACGGTGTATATCACCCACGTGACATATGTGCAAATTGAATTTGTGAAAATGTATACTCATGGGAGTTTTTTACTGCATTGAGCATTGTTATATATTTTTTCTTGGAAACTGAATAAAGTTCAATTTCGAAAATAGTTAACTTGAAAGAAACTGCTGATATTTCAGCGTAACATGTAGTGAGTTTTGTGGAAATCATTATCGTTTGTCAATTATTTAACAAATATTCAACTATTATTTTCACATAAATAGACGAGGAGATACAATCCCAGAAGTTCTGAGAAATTAAGTCGAATTTTCCTCACAAATGACATCTGGAATTCAATTCAAGACACTGAGTACTCAAAATCACCATTTATTATAAGACAGTTTCATGGACTTATTATTATCTTCAATGTATTCTATATTCCATATAATCGTTTCGGAAGGTATTTTTCTTTGTACTCCTTTTTTTCGCAATTCTTCATTATTTCAATCCCTCAACTTCTGATGATACAGAATACGTCGAATCTAGAAAATCAATAAGAACAATCAGTTTATGGAAAAGATGGACCAGTCAATGATTGAAATTTACCTAAATTTACCGAAAATGTGCATAATCAATACATGTGTATGTATATGTATGCTCAAATTGGATATTTGAACTGATTTGAATCAATTGCCTCAATATTTCGACGACAGTCCAAAATATTTATTGAATAAATTGAATAAATGTTCAATACTCAGTGGGCTATCGACCACACATACAACACACCTGTTCATGAAGCTATTTAATTAATTAATTTCGATATATACAATATTGTATACAGGATGGGACACTGTATACGACACGGTCGTCATATGGGAAACCATGTAATGTAATTATTTTCAACTGATTGGATAGAGAATTCATGAATGCACAATTTGAAATTCTCTCGAGATATACAAGGTGGTCAATAAAAAATGAACATCATAGTGATATTTTTTTCAATGGAACACCCTTGTTTTCACCATTTTGGGATTCCAGAACCTATAACAAATCTCTATTCAAGGCTATATCCAAATTACCAATTACAGGTTGTACAGGGTGATTGACTATGGATTTCACGCTTTCAACACTCAATATCTCGAAAACTAATCGAGACATTGAAAACTTCAAAACAAAATCTTGAATCAAATGTTTTTTCTTTCGAATGATACCTTCCAAACATTAGAGCTCCAAACCATATAGAGGGATTGTGGAAATGTTAATTTTTTTTAATGGATATGATTTTCATGCATTCCATGAAGTAATACTGTGTGAACCGAAGGACTATAACTAAGATTGATCGGAATTGTGGTCTAATTGAATATGAGTTTGCTGTCAGGTCAACTGACAATTGAAATTTTCGATAATCTCCTGGTTTCAGTCCAACTTGAGTTGAACTAGATGATTTCGTAAAAAAATCTCAATTAATCTCAAGTTATATTCCTTCGATTCACCGTATTGCTGCATGAAGATTTCATATATATTGGAAACATAAAAAAATCACTTTTCTGAAATATGCAATGAAATATAGGGTGTTCCATTTGAAAAAAATTAACATTTTCACACCCTCCGTATATGAAATGGAAGGATAATGGTTGGAGGACATATCATTCGAAAGAGAGATTCTGTCTGATTCAAGATTTTGTGTGGTAGTTTTCAATATCTCAATTATTTTTTGAGATATTGAGTCTTGAAAGCGCGAAATCCATAATTAATAACACTAGTCGAATTTACGTCATATATCTATTTTATATGGTTCGTTCCATGTATTAGTAGTATCTGATACAGTCATTCATCATTTGAAATTTCCATAAAATTATTGTTTCAATAATGAAAATAATCGACTCTCTAAAACACTAGCTCCCGATGACGTGATATACTGATAAGCACCAATATATCATACTTCTCAACAACCAACGAAAATATATATTTCCACTTTATACATAGTGTCAAAATAAACAGAACTCTGAGGAGAAAACGGATTGTGGCAGTGAAAAACGTTTTTCACTGAATGAGCCTATTCACAAAATTTCCAAGTTTCAAAAACTGTTAATGATAGGTTCATATAAAGAACATTGAAGTACCTCGCACCGTCATTAGTGAAAAAACGAAAAATATATGTTTCATTTGAAGAAACATAACTTTACTATGAATATTTTTTATTTTATATAACACTAGGTATATCTCAACAAAATTTCAATTTGTGCTATGTGCATATATATTCGCCATATCCAGCCTATTGGCACAAATTCTATAATATTCTATGGTTTTTCTACCGTAGTATTCGAATCGTTTTTTTTTTATCCCAATTGTTTCAACTTTATTAACTGCCTGACTGGACTATACAGTTCTGTATCTGGATTCGCTTGCTTCCAGAGAAATATGTTAATCGCAGAAACTCACTCTCTGCTCCCTGAATGGTATCCTGGAGGGCATATAGTCGAAATACAACCTCAAATTCTTATATGGATACCATATCCTGGTCTGATACGGCCAATCATAACTCGAACTCAGAGGTTGCTGTATCTTCTCATCGCAATAGAATCTATAATCGGGCATGAATTGGTAGTTGTACCCCTCACCCGGAAAGTATTTGATCTGGAGCATGTTCGGTCGATCTGGAAATCAAATTTCATACAGAATCCGACAGGCGCGTATTTGAGGGGAATGTAGAGGGGGTAATTACTTCCCCCTTTCCCCACTAAGTAAATTTGTAAGCTATGTTGATGCAAGGTTGTAGCAATTACTGAAACTGACGTTCAGCAATATTGCAAATGTAAATTTGTGAATGTGACGTTCCAGCAATGTCAGAGCAACATGTAATATTGCTGCAACGCTACATTATCAAACTTCACCTTTGCAATAGTGCTGATCGTCCGCTTCAGTAATTGCTCAAACATTGCAACAACATAGCTTTCAATTTTGCTTAGTGGGCCCTCTCAAAGCCCCTCCTCAATCCTCGAAAAATATTCACAAAAATAATCAAATAGTTGTAGTTATCGTCTGAATGAATAGATGACCATACTGTTACTCAGATATACAACTGTTATCAAAAAGAGATATTACCCCTATTATTTTTCGCCAGTATAGAATGACTATAAGAGTATCATACGGGTAGATTAGATTGTAGATTGTAGATGGGTCGTATAGGCTGGGAGACCTCTCGATCACTGCAAGCTAAAAGATCCATTGTGATTACCCTTATCTAGTTTTGGTCCTTCAACCCTAGACTTCTGATGGAGCCTAGAATTTTCCTACTGGTTGAATTTTCTACCTCAGCAGGTGTGAGATAGACCTGTTCTAGGTGATGCAGCCTTTGGCGAGCTAATATTTTACATGAGCAAAGTATGTGTTTCGTGGCTTCGATCACATTGTTGCAAAAGCTGCAAGTATCATTCTCCGCCAGGCCCATCTTTTTGAGGTGGTACCTCAGAGGGCAGTGTCCTGTGAGAAAGCCTGTGATAAGCTTGAGCTCTGGTTTGCTGAGGCTGAGTAGCTCTTTGGCTCGGGTCTGCGAATGGTTGATGAACCTTTGACCTGAAGCTGCTCTCCAGTAGGAGGACTTTTCAATATCTTTCGATTTCTTCCTTTAAGTGACATTTGTTTATCCCCCAAAAAGGCTCAGGACCAAAGAGTGCAGATGCTGCACGTTTCTCTGCCTCATTTCCGTCGATTCCTTTATGCCCTGGAACCCACATAAGTGTGAATTTGTTGTCCTTTCCCAGTTGCATGAGTGTTTCGAAGCAGTCCCATGTAAACTTTGATGTGAAAACAAATGATTTCAAGGCTTTAAGTGCGGCTTTGCTGTTTGGGCAGATATATATGTTGGCACCCGTCAGACCTCTGCTGCTGCTGCTGCATGGAAGATAGTGGGGGAGTGACCTAAGGCTTCAAACAGCCTACATCCGGGTCCATATACATCATGCGGGTGTATTCAAATTTGTTTCTTCTTGACCAGAGATGAGTTACCAACAACTTAGGCCTGTTCGTTTGTATTGATGAACTTGCTACAGTTGATGTTTTAACCATAGTTGTCTCTGTTCATGACATGATGTAAAAAGAGAAAGTCATAGAAAAGAATCAAGTTCAGCAGGTAGAGCAAGCACAAACGAACAGGCTTATTATCTCTGTCCTCAACGTAACGTGTAAGGTGTGTGCAGTCACTGTCAGTATATACAGTGTGTCCCAGATAAAATGTGCAACCTAGTTTGTAGGAACTATTTATCTCGAAATCAGCTTCTCTACGAGCCTGTGGAATTTGCCGTATAAAATTTGAGACAACCCCATGAATGTGTATTTTTAATTTTCCTTGACTTATATCAACCAGGTTAGTTATAGATTAACTCAGTTTGGTCAACTAT